TTTGATTTCTTTGTAGGAAATACTTATTTTTTTCTTCAATTCCATCGTATCTACCCATTCTGTGGCCTCGAACACAGATACTAATTTTTACTGTATTTTGGAGAATCTGGCTATGTGTTCATATTTATTTTTTAAAAACATGTAAAAAATAAAAGCATGTAATTTTTTAGGTGAAATTCACATTATGTAAAGTTAAACATTTTAAGTTAATTTAGTGGCATGGAATATATTCATAGTGTTATGTAGCCACTACCTCTTCTCATTTTATTTTGTTTAGACTATTTTCACTTTTCATTGAGTTCCTTTTGGCTTAAGGCAAGAACCAACCTGGTATGCTTATAGTGAATATTTCATTCCTGTGGTGTCACTTAAGATAATGTTTATCTCTTCTCTTTGCTTCCCCCGCTCCCACCCATTCCTAGGATTTCAGGGTCTCGTGCCTGCTAGACAAAAAAGAACCCTACCCTTAAACTCCATTCCTCAGCTCCTGTCCTGTTAAAGCAGACATTCTTACTTTAAGATCTTGTGTTATAGGCTTCTAAAGATATTTGATCTTCTTCTCATCCCTAAAATTTTGTGGATGGGTACATGATTTAAGATAAGAACAGTTCTTACAGTGAACAGGCCTCCTACCTTGAAATTTGTTAGAAATAATATGGCTTATTAATGAAGGTACTACTGATTTAAGACATGGTTTGTTGTTTAACAGATGGAGCTCTAGAAAACAGTACTTTCATGTACTTTTTCCAAGAAGCTGGGTGAAAATTTCCAAACAAATTTTATTTTTAAATCTTAAGCAAGTTTTAAGTTTTGATGATCCCATTTATAGAGGAAACCACCTCCTGGGGATAGGGATCGGCCTGCTGTGGGTTAACTGTACAGCTAAGCTCCCTGAGAAAGTTGGTAGCTATGGCCACAGCTGTGTACAGGTACAGGTGTAATGTAATGTCAGTGGAGCATAACAGCCCTGGAACATCCTGCCAGAGCTTCCCACTCTCCCTAACCACTCACTGCTTACCATTTGACTTGATGTTGCCCAGCAAAATGAGAGATTTTCCTGTAGAAACAGTATAGGGTAAAAGCAAAGCCTTGCTCAGGGCTCTCCAGAGGACATGAGAACCCTCTGGAGACCCTGGCTTCATTAAAGTCACCCTTTTGGGCTGGGAAGATGGCTCAGTGGAATAAGCGTTTCCCTGGCAAGTGCAAGGGCCTGAGTTCAATCCATGATTCCAGCAAAAAAATAAAAATAAATAAAGTCACCCTTTTCTCCTATTCTGCTGGGGTGATTTGTTCTGCTGGGGATCCCATTCATTTTCCTTCTTCACCATGATATCTAAAATGGCCAAGAATTTCCTAGATAGACCACAGTGAATTTGAATTGTAGCCTTCCTGTCAGGCTCTTATAAACATTTATTTATATATTGGTTTATCTGTTTGTTCATTCCATGTCTTTTAACATGAAAAAGTCCTCCTGGTATGGTAGTACATACCTGTAATCTCAGCGTTCAAGAGACTGAGGCAGAAGGGTCCTGCTTAGGCTGCATGGTGAGTTCAAGGCTTCTTGAACTACATAGTGAGCCTCTGTCACAGATATTTTAATTATAACAAATATGAAAATGGAAATTTCTATAATGTATAATGATAGTTTAAGTTATAGCTTACTTCTTTTAACATGATAATTCAGTGAAATTTTGTTACAACCTAAAACGCTTTCCTATATCAGGATCAAGAACATAAATAATAAATAACTGATTAGAAAGATAGCAGATAAGTCTTAGTTTCCCCTAGGCTGTACAAAAAGCACATTCTAATGGTAAATTTGAATCAGATTCTTTTCATTATTTTAGGTTTATCTGGTTCTTTTTTTGTATAATTGTTCAAGGAAGTTTATTAGATACCTGGTTCTTTTTTGTTTCTTTAGTTACGTTGATTGTTTGATAGTGTAAGTTATTTCTTCCAGATCGATATTTATAATTGTTTGTGAAATGTATTATCACTTAAGTTGTGTTGACTTGATAGTAATCAGTAGGTGCTGCAATTTCTTGTCCTGAAATTGGTAACGAGTATTGTTAATTATGGTATTAGGGAAAGAGATTCTTCCTGCATTTTTGAGTGCAGGAAGAATATTATTTTTAAGAAATTGAATATATTTAAAGAAGTCAGTATGTTGGATAAAGTCCTAGAGTTTCCTTTTTTAATTAGTACAAGTTTAGTAGTACATTTGCAGTTTACATTCTTGATTTTTAAAACTTCCTTTCGTCTATCTACCCACATCCTCTGTTTCTAAATCCCTTTTCTCCATGTTTGTTTTGTTTGTTATTGAGACAGGATCTTGCTACTATGTAGTTCAAGCTGGCCTTAAATTCTCTATGTAGCCCATTTTGGCTGCAAATTCTGGATCCTCCTGTCTCAGCCTCCTCAGTGTGGGGTTATAGACATCTACCACCATCCTCAGCTAGAGTTTCTCAAATCAGAAGGCATCATCTCATTATTTTGAGTTCATACTGGATTTTGAAGTCAGCTGGGTTAATTGTTCTGGGATTTGGGACAGAAAGGTAGGTTGAGGCTGAGATCCATGTGTTTTTGTTTTACTGATTATCCTTTTTTGTTGTTGTTGTTGTTTTGGCAGAATCAGAGATTGAACTCGGATCCTTGCGCTTGCCAGGGAAGCGCTTATTCCACGGAGCCATCTCCCCGGCCCCCCCTTTTTTTTTTAATTTAATTTTATTTATTTAAATTTTTATTTGTGTGTGTGTGTGCACGCGAGGCTGGCTGGCATGTGGTGCTGGAGGATTGAACCGCGGTCCCTGTGCTTTGCTAAGCTTGTTCTAAGTAGGTGCTTTAGACCACTGAGCCATCTCACCAGCCCCATGTGTTTTTGTTTTAACACTAGTTCTGATTGTCTTTTGTACTAAGTGTGACTGAACAGATATCTTTTACCTTATTCTTAACTGTTAACTGGTACTATTCATTGGGTAGATTATTAGGATAAATATAAAATGTTGGAGGTATGAAGACTGCAGCTTTTTAAAAGATCCACACATAAGACATGTTTAACTCCAGGTCTTTTGTTGTGAATTTGTATTACTCTAATTTAGTCATTCTTTTTTTTTGAAAGAAATTCTTGTTACAGTAGGTTTGCATGTAACATTGATTAAGTTGGCAGAATTGTTCTCTATTTGGTTCTATGTCTCTGAGATAAGATCTTCATATATAGTCCAGGCTGGTCTTGAATTTGCTATACTACCTAAGCTGGCCTTCAACTTTGGATCCTCCTGCTTCAACCTCTCAGGTTTTAGGAGATTACAGGTGTGTATCATGCCTAGCAAGGAAAAAATTATTTTTCCTGTCTGGGGATCTCACACATGCTAGAGAAGCAGTCTACCTCAGCTGTATCCCAAGCTTGTTTTTTTCTTTGACTTTATATCTCTTTAGAATACATGCTGTGGAGTAAGACCTTCCTGAAATGGGGAAGTGCCTAAATAATCCTGAGCAGACAGAAGGTTATGGAGAAAGTTTCCAAATTGAAAAACAAAACAAAACTTTTCCTTACCCTAAACTGTTGAGTGACTAATTGTGAGGTGGGGAGAAAAAAAAAAAAAAA